TTACTGAAGTCACTTATCAGGTCTGGGAGTCTGGTGAAATCTTTAAACTTTTCTAGATATAGAATTATTGTCTGCTAACAGAGATAATTTTGCTCCCTCTTTTAATATTTGGATGCTTCTAATTTATCTCTCCTGCCTGATTGCTCTGGCTAAAACTTCCAGTGTCCTGTTAAATAGGAGTGGATATCCTGGTCTTTCTCCAATTCCAAGGGAAATGTTTTCAAGGCAAACCATTCAGTATGATGTTGGCTATCAAGACCTCATCGGTCGATCTTGCGAGACCTAGTTTTTACAGTAAAATAAAAAATAGCCGAGAGTGGTAGCGCGTGTCTGTAGTTCTGGCTACTTGGAAGGCTGAGGCGGAAGGATCGCTGGAGCCCAGAAGGTCGACGCTGGGGAGGCTATGAGTGTGTATGCCACTGCACTCCAGCCTGGGGAAAGGAGTGAGATTCCAACTCAAAAAAAAAAAAAGGTGTATCTATGACTCAAGAGGGAAAAATTAAACAAAGATTATATAATTGATGTTAAGGAATTATAGTTAAATTTGTTAGATGTAATTTTTTTAAAAAGGTCCTTTTTGTGTAGATATACTGGGGTGCCAAAAAAATGTATACACATTTTAGCGAGGTTATGTATGTATTACTTTTCGAAGTTGAACTGAATTACGATAGAAATGTGTAGTATAACGTTCGCTCAAAAGAGGGCATTAATCAAATGACTGCTAGCGTCACCATGTGACAGGCAGGACAGTACTGCAATTTTAATACAGTTTTTTTCCTTTCTTAAAATGTATATATATATATTTGGGTATCCTCTGTATATTCTAGGGTCTGAGATTGTTTCAGATAATTCAAGGTGTGGGGGAGAGAGGAAGAGGATATAGAGATTATAAAAACAAAAAACCTGGCTACATATTGGTAAATGTTCAAACTGAGGGCTCAGCATGCTTTTGTTGCGTTTGAGATTTTCCGTTAAAAAAATGAAACAGCAGGAACAAGGCTCTACTGGCTTCCAATGTGCTTAGAATAAACCCAGCTGTTCCCATGGCAGACACAGCCCCACACAATCTGCCCTGTCACCCCTGCTCCCTCTGCTCCAGCCGCACAAGCCTCCCCATGCTCCAGGAATGACTTGCGCCATGCCACCCAGGAGACCGTGCCCTGGCTAGCCTTCATCTGGAACCCACTGGTCCTCAACACTCTATAGCTGCCTTCTTCATGGAGCATCAAGGAGTCATCTCTGCCCCCTTCTAACAGGAAGCAGCTCTCCCCTGCTTAAACTTCCCTCTTAGACCTTATCATGGCCCGATCCCATATTACATGTCTGTTTCTTCACTGCTCGTCACTGCTGGTAGTAACACAAGCCCCAAGGGAGCAGGTGCTTTTTTTGTTCACTGCTGCATCTGCAGCACTTTGAATGGAGTTTTCACATAGTAGGGGGTAATAATATGTGCTGAACTAATGAATGAAGTGCTGCATGCCCTAGGCAAGTTCCTTGGAACACTGCATGCTTCTAGCTGGTCAGAAGGCAGTGAGTTATTGCAATTGATTGTTCACAGTCAGCTACAGATCGAACTCCTTAGTCTACTCTTTCCCTTCTCAGTACTTAAAAAAAAAAAAAGAAGGAAAGAAAAGAAAAAAATACTGTGTTTCATGTAGAAAAAAGGAATAAAGAGGTACCTACCTTGTGGGACTTTTGTGGGGATTAAATAGGATAATACGTGTATGAAGAGTTTAAACCAGTGGCTGGCACACAGTAAGCGCTCAATTGATGTGCACCCACCTCCTGTCACTGTGATCACTATTTCCGCTGCGATAGGGCCTGCCTCGGCGCCTCTACTGGGACCTCGAGCGACAGTGCCAGGAAGGCCTCACGCCAGCACTCCGGGAGTTTCTATCCCAACCCGGCCCCCGCCTTTCAGGACAGTGCCCTTACCTCCGGGGTGTGCCATCGTCAAAAGGCGGGATGATGACTACCTTCACGGTGACGGAGGTGCGCAGCAGGTCGATCATCTGGTCGTGGGTCAGTGTGACCACTGCCACCTTGCAGATCTCCACCAGTCGGCTGCCTTGCCGGAGGCCGGCCTGCCAGGCGAAGCCATAGTCCTCCACCTCGGCCACTGTGCCATCGTACTTCACGTGGAAGCCCAGCTGCCCAAGACCGTTCCGCCGCAGGGTCATGTCCACTGTCTCCCAGCCATTGGTCATCACCTGCAGGCGACAGGCAGGACTGAGCCTCAGAAGCCATTTGGGTCAGCGCCTCTGGAAGGCCCCTGGTCAGACTCCTTCCTGCCAACTCCCATCTGCCCTCCCCGGTGGCAGCAGGGTCACAGCCAGGCTTCTGACTTCTGGAGAGGAAATCTGGATAGGCGACTATGTGGCTTATTACCTCAACGAGACCACAGCAGTCATGAGCTATGCTCTCCAAATGCCTCAGCCTCCCTCCTTCCCAGTGGGACTGCAGTTTTGGCTCCCTTGTGGTTAGAGAGGGTTCAGGACCTGTTAGTCGAGTGCAACTGGCAAGACCTTTGGGTTGGGGTATTTAATTGCCAGTGTGAGACCTTCCATAGGCCTTTTCCCTCCACCACAGAGTCCAATAATATTCAAGACAGTGGCAGTTGTTTGGATGGCTGGGGTCCCAGTGTTAGAACAATGTGCAACAGCTGGATGTGGTGGCTCCACTTATGATCCCAGCTACTCAGGAGGTTGAGGCAGGAGGATCACCTGAGTCCAGGCTGCGGGGAGCTAGGAGTGCCACTACACTCTAGTATGGGCGACAGAGAAAGACCCATCTCTTGGGGGAAGAAAACAAAACACCGTGAGGCAGAGCCACCAGGTGAACCCAGGACGAAGACATGGTGTGAGCAGGAAATAAACCTTTGTGGCTTTAGACAACACGAGGACTCTAATCAAAATAAGCAGGCCAAGCAACAGAGCAGCCATACTGGGATCTTTTCTAGACTGGGAGCTCACGCCATATTCTTTTACTTCATGACTTCATTCTTGGAGGCACAAACCCTCTCCCCATCTCCTCCTCAGACCTTCCCTGAGCAAAGAGCTCACCAGACCACACAGGACCTTGCCTCCAACGACTCCCTGCCTCACTTGTGTGAGATTTTCCCCGCGATGATGTACCACCACAAGATGTGAGGCCCTGTTAAACAGAGCTCCCCACCCCTTCCGCTCTGCCCTCAGCATGCCATTAGTGACGCCCCACTCTTCTTGGGAGAAAAACAAGATGAACTTAACAAGCCACGGCTATTAAGCAAGTTATATCAAGATCTGCCTGTCCTTTCTGAAACATGCATTATGGAAAGAGGACACATAATGGTTTATATTTCCTACCAGAAGTCATTCCCTGGCTAGATATTATGCTATTTAATGTATCTATTAGAGTCAGAGCCCTGGTTTTCATCCTCTTCTGACCACCGCTCGAAGTAAGAAATAATTTTATGGCACAAACTATTCTATGCATTCACTTTTTACACACCCATTCACAGACACAAAAACTTCCTTAAAATTCAAATCTGAAAAAAAAAAAAAAATCCAAATCTGTCACATACTTTTGTGTGTGGACAGCAAGAAGCAAGAGTCTGGATGGCCAAGGACTTACGTGAAAGATCGTCAAATCTGCTGAGTTTCTGATTTGGGGAGTGAGACTTTGGGAAGTGGGGGAAATGCGAATAGGTAAAACCATGCTCATAAAACAGTACTTCTCCTTCCTCACTGAAAGGTGCTTTCACATTTTTTTATCCTTTCTATCCTGTTGCAATGGCAGAGCCCTCATGAATGGAATCAGTGCCCTTAGAAAGAAGGCGCAAGGAGCCTGGTAACCCCTTCTACCATGTGCGGACACGGCAAGAAGGTGCCATCTATGCACTTGAAAAAGGGCCCTCACCAGACAACAAACCTTCCAGGGCCTTCAGGTTGAACTTTCCAGTCTCCGGAACTGTAAGAAGTAAACTTCTATTGTTTATAAGCCACTCAGACTAAAGGATTTTGTTACAGCAGCCTAAATGGTCTAAGACACCTATCCTTTAAAATTGTTGAGACTCAGTAATTGATGTCATAGCCTTTCATGGGTGGCAATCTGTTTGTTTTACAATAAGAAATTATTGTTAATTTTTTTTTTTGAGTTGGAGTCTCACTCTGTCGCCCAGACTGGAGTGCGCTCCCAGCCACGGCAGCCTCGTCCTGCTGGGTTCTGACGATCCTTCCGCTCAGCCTTCCAAGTAGCTGGAACTACAGGTGCATGCTACCACACCTGGCTAATTTTTTTGATTTATTGTAGAGATGAGGTCCCGCCAAGTTGCCCAGGCGGGTCTCGAACCCGTGGGCTCAGGCAATCCACTCTCCTCAGCCTCCCAAAGCGCGGGATTACAGGCTGAGCTACCGAGCCCAGCTTGTTAATTTTTAATGTAAGATGACAAAATAGTTTTTTTGGCCAGGTACAGTAGCTCACACCTGTATTCCTGGCACTTTGGGAAGCTGAGGTGGGAAGATTGAGCCCAGGAGTTCAAGACCAGTCTGGGCAACTTAGTGAGAACCCCATCTCTGTAAAAAATGAAAAAACTAGCCAGGCATGGTGGCATGTACTTGTAAGTCTCAACTACTCGGGAAGGCTGAGGCAGGAGGATCATGAGAACAGGAGTTCGAGGTTGCAATGAGCTATGATCACACCACTGTACTCCAGCCTGGGTGACAGTGTACGTTTGTTAAACAAACGAACAAAAAAATTTTTAAAAGTTATTTTTTAAGAGACTGTATCTTTTAGAAATAAAGATTGAAATGTTAACAGATGAAATGATATGATGTCTAGGACTTGCTTCAAAATAATCAGGGGGAGGATAAGAAAAGGAGGGAAGGAAAAAACAAGATGGCCCATGGCTGGTAACTGCTGAAGCTGGTAATGGGATAGGTTCGTAAGCAATGCCGGCTACTTTAGTGTATGTTTGCAATTCTCCATAATTACAAAGGAAAACTGGTTTGAAAGAAAATTGATGGCTTAGTGCCTCAAAAGAGAAAGTAGTGACTAGATTTATCTTAGCTCATTACTTCTGTTTTGGCAGTCGAAATTCTTTGTTTGGCTGTGAGTTATGAAGAAAAGCCCCGTGTGTCCATGCTCATTACCAATTAGGCCACACTAACCCTCAGAGTCCCGGGCTATTCCCACAGGGAGGGCCCAACCTTCCACAGAAGCCCGGAAAGAGTTAGGTAACAGCCTGACAAACACTGCAGTGGCAAGGACTGCCAACTACTGTCCACCATGCACACCCCCTCTTCCTTTCAGTAATCAGATCCACGCTGTAAAACAAGAGTTTTGATGGGCACACGGCCACCTAGCTGGGGACCACATTTCTCAGTTTCCCTGCAGTTGGGTATGGACATATGACTGTTTCAGCCAACAGGACGTGAAGTGATGGAACTTCTACTTCATGCTCTTTTCTTTTCTTTTTAAAGAGGTGGAGTCGGCCCAGCCTGTAGTCCCAGCACTTTGGGAACCCGAGGCAAGAGGATTGTCTGAGCCTGGGGAATCGAGACCAGCATAGGCAACTTGGTAAGACCTTGTCTCTACAATAAATCACAAAAAAACTAGCCGGGCATGGTGGCGTGCATCTGTAGTTCCGGCTACGTGGAAGGATCGCCTGAGCCCAGCAGTTCGAGGCTGTGGTGGCCATGAGAGTTGCCACTGCACTATAGCCTGGGTGACAGAGTGAGACTCCAGCTCAAAAAAAAAAAAAAAGGAGGTGGGGTCTCACTATGTTGCCCAAGTTGGTCTTGAACTCCTGGGCTCAAGCCTCCCGTCTCAGTCTCCCAAAGTGTTGGGATTACAGGCATGAGCCATTGCACTCGGCACCGTGTTCTTAAAAATAAAATGCCGGGGGGAGGGGGATGGGATTAACAGTAGCAAATATCTGTCTGGGGCTGGGAAAACACCTCTTATCAACAGGGTGTCTGAATGAAACGTAATTGTACACCTAACCCTTAACTGTACCCCACAAAACCCTAATAAAAAATACTGATTAATTATTAAAATAAATAAATAAATAAAATGCCTTTATGCTCATATTTTCTCCCTTCCTGTAAAAAGGAATGTGCAGTGACTCAGTTTTGACCATTTAGATAAGTACAACACCTACCTGCATCAGTACAAAGGCAGGGCGGAGCTATAAGATGGAAAGGGCGTGAGCCTCTGAGCTGTCTCGCCAGCCCTGACGCTAACTAAAAGAGAGTAAGACTCCATCTTACCCCTGCCAGATCTTTCAGTCTTTCTATTTCAGCAGCTCAGTTGTAACTACCAACTACTGTGGCTCTGGATCATTTTGGATGTGGAAGAGAGAACCACTCTGTCCCTTAGTGTTCTGAAACTTTAGTGACCTTTGCTTTTGCAGTAAATCAGAGGAAGCCCCACACAAAGAAGAGAACATTCCTGATATGAACATGGCTCCAGAAAGGACACAGGGCATAGGGAGTAGCTTATAGCACCAAACACACAAGCCAATTCAAAGAAACCTCTGCTGTCTTGTATGGCCACCCCACCCCAGGCCCCTTTGCCAAAGCTCCTTTTTCTGGGGGCAGGTTTGTGTGTCAGGCATTGGTTTAAACCCTTTACAAGCCCAATGTCACTGGCATCTCACTTAGGAGGTAGGTACAACTAATTTGCTTATTTTACAGATGAGGAAATGGAGGTGCATCGCCTGCCAAGGTCCCAAAGCAGATGTCGCCTCAACACTTGCTTCTAGCCACTCTGCTGTGTTGCCTGTTGCTCCCGTTTTTCTCTTTTTATTTTCATTAATTTATTTTATTAAAAAAATGAACTCCCCCCTTATTCATCACCAGGATGATTCTTACTTATTGTTTGAGTCTATGTTTAAAAGTCATTTCCTCAGGGAGGTCCTCCCCACCTCCCTGGGCCCAGCTCACAAGCTTGGTATTTGGTGGGTGACGTAAGCAAGAGATGTGGGCTGGCGGAATCATGGCAAATAGGCACGTGTACCCCATCTAAAGGGAGCCCCACTACCCTGCTGCAGCTGACCACTGCCCTGTGCAAAGGGGCCCAGGATAGCCAGATCACCCAATTTTTCAAGAGAAGCCAGAGGCCAGATTCATGTGAAATCCTCTAAATGTTATGTCTGGGGCTGTATCTAACCCGTGGATTTCAGACCTTCTCTTTGTCTAATTTAGGCCCCCGTGACAGGTTCTTCAGGCACCCTTACATACCCTTCTAAGCTCCTGGCACTTGTAATTGCTTGTTCAGTAGCCGTCCTAAAAGGGAGTCCTATCAAGGTAGGCCTGGGCCCCTTATGGTCACTGCTATGTCCGGCACTGCCCAGCCCAGGGCTAAGCACATGATAAAACTCATGGAACGAACAAATGACACCATGCTGTTAGTTGTGGATGTCTGGGGCAGTTGAGTCAGCCTGCCTGGATTTGAATCCCAGTTCTGCAGCGGAGGATGTGGAATCCTCACCAGGGAGGACTTCAAAGAAGAGAGACTCGCTGTCATGCGTTGCTGGAGATGAGCCTGCCCCTTCATAGGAGATGCTTTATATCATCGCTTCCTGGCCCACGGGTTCCTTAGCAGGCTCTGGGGAGCTGAGATTGGGGGTGGGGAGAAGGCGGTGGCAGTGTGCTCTAGAAGGACTTTGCCAACAGTAGGTATGGGGGTGGGTGTGGGACAGAGTGGCACAGAGAGGATGTGGGTAAAACTTGTAACCTGGCATAGTGCCTGGCATGGTCCCTGCTCAAGAAACACGAGCTGCTGCCAGGATCTGGGGAGGTACAATAGCCTGATGTTTAAGAATCAGGGCTGGGCTGGGTTCGGTGGCTCAGCCTGTAATCCCAGCACTTTGGGAAGCCGAGGTGAGTGGATTGCCTGAGCCCGTGAGTTCGAGACCTGCCTGGGCAACTTGATGAGACCTCATCTCTACAATAAATCAAAAATTAGCCATGCGTGGTAGTGCTCACCTGTAGTTCCAGTTACTTGGAAGGCTGAGGCGGAAGGATCGCCGGAGCCCAGCAGGTCGAGGCTGTGATGGCCATGAGCATGCCATTGCACTCCAGTCTGTGCCACAGAGCGAGACTCCAACTCAAAAAAAAAAAAAAAAGAAAAAAAAAAAGAAGCCGGGTTCGGTGGCTCAGCCTGTAATCCCAGCACTTTGGGAAGCTGAGGTGAGTGGACTGCCTGAGCCCGCGGGTTTGCGACCCGCCTGGGCAACTTGGTGAGACCTCATCTCTACAATAAAATAAAAAATTAGCTGGGCCTATGTGGTAGCACGCGCCTGTAGTTCCAGCCACTTGGAAGGCTGAGGCGGAAGGATCGCTGGAGCCCAGCAGGTCAAGGCTGCGGTGGCCACCTGGCCACCGCACTCCAATCTGGATGACAGAGCGAGACTCCAACTCAAAAAAAAAAAGAATCCAGGCAGTTAACTCACTTTGTCACTTTGGGCCTGGGCAAGTGGCTTTACCTGTCTGAGCCTCAGTTTCCCCATTTGTGAAGGGAGGATGATAACAGTATCTACCTCACTGGGCTTTTGTAAGGAAGAAATGCAAAGCCAGGCAAGGAGCTGAGCGGGGCTGGGCACAGAGCTGGCCCTCCCTAAATGTTCACGACTGCTCTTACGACAGGACAGCGCATGTCCATGCACACACTCAGTTCATGCCTACTAGGCATCCACTGCGTACCTGATGCTGGCCTTGGTGCTGAGGACACAGCAGTGAACAAATACACAAATGCATAGCAGATGGTGGGAAAGCCGGCAAAGTGAGTGGAAAATGCTCTGGGCCAAGTCAGGGAAGGGCGTTTGCAATCTAAGATAACGATGACTCACGGACAAGGTGACATGTGACCACAGGCCTGCAGGAGAGGACTGAGCCAGCCAAGTGAGGATCAGGGAAGGAGTTTTCCAGAGAGAGGGCACCGGCAGTGCAAAGGCCCTGAGGCTGGATGCCTGCCTGGCATACTGGAGAAACAGTAGAGGTCTGTGTGGCTGGGGCAGATGGAGTGACAGTGAGATGAAACCAGCAGGGAGCCAAATCATGCAAGTCCTCGCGGGCCACCATAAGGACTGTGCCTTTTACCTGCAGCAACCTGAGGGTTTGGAGCAGAGGAGTGATGTGATCAGACCCCTCTGACTACTATGTTGAGAACAGACAAGGAAATAAGGATGGTGGTAAAAGTAAGAGGAGTAAGAGAAACCAGGAAGGAGTCCACTGCAACAGTCCAGGAGAGACAAGGGTGGCTCGTACCAGGTGGAGGCACGGAAGGGGAAGCAGTAGCTGACTTCTGCCTACTGAGGTGGAACTGACAGACATGGATATGAGAGAGCAGAGCCCAGGCTGATGCCAAGGTTCTGACAACAGCTAATAGAGGGATGAACTTGGCCTGTACTGAGACAGCAAAATTCTGAGAGGAGTTTGCTCTTGGACATGTTAGGTTTCAAACACCCAAGTGGAGATGCGGAGTAAGCAGTTAGAGACCAGCCTTGAGTTTGGATGCAGGTGGGTTTCAGAGTCAGAAAAACCTGACTCAGACCCCAGTTCTGCCACCTACTGGCTATGACTTTAGGTGAGTATCTCGACCTCTCTGAGCCTCAGTTTCCTTATCGGACAAGTAGGGACAAGAATTTCATTGGGTGGATGTGAGGATTACGTGAGATCATGCACATAAAATGCTTAGAAGGGCAGGGGTCATTAAACTCATCAGGGTTCAACTAACCAATCAACTGATCCATGCTTACTAAACATCTACTATGTGTCAGTCCTGTTCTAGGCACATGAGACAAACAAGTGAGGAAAACAGATAGAGGCCCTGGCTCCCACGTGGACCTCACCTCCTTACAGGAAGTCTAAACACTAGCTATTGTTCTCTGAAGCAGCACAAATTTTGGAGTTAGGGCAGCTAAGAGCAGATCTTTACCAATGTAAACTGAACTTACTAAGAGAATGCAAAGGCCTAGAAGGGTAATGACAGCCACCAACCACAGTGACAAAGGGAGGTCACAGCTAACCAAGTCAGGCAAGCCTGTCTGGGCAAGAGAACTCATCCAATCCCTTAAAACCTGCACATGATATAGGATGATTCTTGTTTCCATTTTTCAGATGGGGAAACTGAGTCACAGAAACAAAATAACTTGGCCCAATGTCACACAGCTGGTAAATGGCAGCACCGAGACTTGAAGCCAGGCCTTCTGACTCTAGAATTTGTGCTCTGAACTACTGTGTGACATCACCTCCTCTACTTAGCACACATGCCGTGCCATTCTGCTAAATCTACTTGCAGAGGCCATCAATGACCACAGTGTTTCTTCTCGTGGACCTTAGATGTGGCCTGAGAACTTCTAGCACAATGCTTCAGGCAGACATTATTAACCAAGTTGGCACCAAGCTGCCATTCTTGGTTTGGCCAACGGTCTGAGCCTGAGCTATCCACCAGCAGTTTAGGATAAGATTTTTATCCAGACTGTGAGTTTTTGTCTTTTAACAGGACAAGTTAAACCACTGATATTTATTGTGGTTACTGACATGGAACTTATTCCTGCCATATACTTTTATGTTTATTTCTTTTATCACGCTTTTTTATATTTTTTCTCCCCTTGCCTCTGCCCTATCCTTTAATGGTCTGGAACCTTTTCATTGTATTTTAATTCTACTCTTACATTTTACACATAATCTTAAACTTATCTCCTCTATCAACTTCTAGTATTAATAATTATGTTTCTTGTCCTTCCAAGGTGATTGCATGAGAAGCCTCAGATCCCTGGCCCAATCTGTCCCCAGAAAGAACCCAGGATAAAGGACCCACCTGAATCCTAGGGTGTAAGTGGCAGTTCTGATTCTCTCGAGGCCAATTAGTGTCTTAGCCTAACTGACCAGGCTAGGGGAAATACTTCAGTGGTTCCTAAGGCCAAAACCATATAAGCCATTGCACCACTGCTGAGCTCCCTCTCTTACCTTCAGCCTCTGCACGATTTCCCTTACATCCTCCATGGAGCCCTCTGCGGCTTGCAGGAAGATGTGGTCCCCTCGCCCATAGAAGATTTTGAGTGTTGAGGAGTCTGGAGTCCAGCCAATGACATCCCCGCAATAGCAGTTGAACACCACCTCCTTGGTGCGTAGGTCCAGAAGCACCACAAACTCATTGGAAATTCCCAGAATGCAGTCGATTTCTACCCCCTGGGCGTAGTCCTGAGCTGATACTCTCCAGGCAATAGCCCCAGCGCTGTGCTGCTCTGCACCTGCCCGTGCTTTTGTCTTCTCCTTCTTCTTGGAGGTCAGGGAGATGAGGTTGAATTTGCCAGTGGAGTCGATGGGTGTGTTGGAGACACAGTTTTCAGCCAAGTCCTTGAGGTACTCCTGGCGGGTTCTGGTGGCCATGGTGTGGAACTTGTCGGATTTGTGCGCGGCGTTCTCAGCATTAATCACCTTGGCTAACAAGAAGTCTCTGAAGACGTCGGATTTGCGGAAGGTGGTTCCACTGGGGATGGGAGGGCCGAAAGGAGGAGCATCTTTGGATCGGGTCACGGCCATACTGAGGAGGGAGAAATCATTTAGATGGTAGAAAGAAAAGCACTAAAACTTCAGAAAATGAAAATTTGATAAAAATTAGGAGTTTCCGTTATTTTATTTTAACTTACAATTTAATTTTTTTATTTTTATTTATCTATTTATTTTGAGTTGGAGTCTCACTCTGTCGCCCAGACTGGAGTGCAG